CTTTTACTTTTGTCTGCCATTTTGGCTTGTATCACAGTACTCTTTGTCGGCCATTTCTTCCGGCCTCTATTATTGAGTCTGGATAGGCATCTTACAAGACAAGATGCTCTCTACGATCGAACTCCACCGTTCGCCCGGTTTCCAACCATTTAAGTAATCCATTTTTCGATCTCTTATCTTGGAACGAATCAATGGATTGCGCAAATTCTCTTCTACAACTCTTCAACAATTTATGGGGCTTGGCCAGCATACCTTTGGGCTACTTTTGTAATCTGAAAGATAATGTCAACTCGTTGCGGAACGCAAATGACAACTTGAAGGCCAGGAGCGGAGATGTGCTGGCAGAGGTGGAACGTGAAGAAGGAGGAGGAGGTGTGCAGCGCACGAGAGAAGTGGCAAACTGGTTAGGCAAGGTGCATGAATTTGTGGGTGGAGGAGATCAAGTTCTTCAAGAAGGCGAGGAACGTGACCGAATTAAATGTCTCAATCGTTGTCTTCCATGGAACTGCTGGTCGAGTTATAAATTGGGGAAAAGAGTCGACGAAATGCTCAATAAAGCGAGAGAGCTCCTACCTAAAGAAGGAGAATTTGGTGTTTTGACGTCGCCGTTGCCTCCTCCTCCGGTGCTCGAGATGCCTATGGACGAGACTGTGGGGCTTGACATTTCCAATCTTAATGAAGTGTGGAAATGGCTCGTGGACGAAAAACAAGTAGGAGTGATTGGGATGTATGGAACTGGCGGTGTGGGAAAGACCACCCTCATGAGAAAGATCGAGAAGGAGCTTTCACGCGCAAATAACGGGTTCGATGTTGTTATATGGGTGGTGGTGTCTAGGCAAGTGAACGAAAATAGTATTCAAGACGCCATAAGAAAAAGGTTGCACATTAAAGATGAGAGCTGGGATCGATGGTCTCGAGATGAGAGGGTCCATCATCTATATCATGTTTTAACCCAAAAGAAGTTTGTGTTGTTGATTGATGATGTATGGCGGAGGCTGGACCTTTCAAATATCGGAGTTCCTCATCCTAGTCTCGAGAATGGATCCAAAGTAATGTTCACAACTCGGTTAAGGCATGTATGTGATCAAATGGGAGCCAACGAAACCTTGGAAGTACAGTGCTTGATGGCTAAAGAAGCTTTGGAATTATTCGAGAAGAACTTTGGCAAATCGCTTGTAGATTGTCATCAAGAAATTCAAGACCTCGCAAAAGACATTGCCGAAGAGTGCAAAGGGTTGCCACTAGCCCTTATTACTGTCGGGCGAGCCATGGCCAGAAAAGACAATCCCCATGAGTGGAGACATGCGCTAACAACGCTGAGGAACAATCCACACAAATTGTCAGGTATGGTGGAGGAAGTGTACCACATACTAGAGTTCAGTTATAATAGCTTAAATGACTCTACCCTCCAAGCTTGCTTCCTTTACTGTTGTCTCTTCCCTGAGGATTACCTCATAAGAACAAACGAGCTTATTGAACTTTGGATTGGAGAGGGCTTGCTAGAAGACACCAATGATGTATACCGTATGCGAGACGAAGGAGAGTCTGTCTTAGGGGACTTAAAGAGGGCTTGTCTATTGGAAAGTGGGGAGGATAATGATTATGGAACACAGTGTGTAAAGATGCATGACGTGATTCGCGACATGGCGACCTGGATCGCTCGTGACCGCGGGCAAAGCGAGAACAAGTTGCTAGTAATAGAGAAAGAAGAAGACATGTCCGCGAAGATGATCTCCAAATGGGGGGAGGCAAAGAAAGTATCCTTATGGGGAAAATGGATCCATAATATCAACCAAATACCATCTAGGTGTTCCCAGCTTGAAACTTTGATTGTGAGGGAAACTGATGTAAGGCTTGTGCCTAGAGGATTTTTTGACTTGATGGTGGCTCATTTGACAGTCCTGGACCTGTCCAACAACAGAAATATTGAGATATTCCCAGAAGGGATTTGCAATTTGATTAGTCTACAGTACTTGAACTTGTCGGCCACTCGTATCCATGAGCTGCCCCAGGAAATTAAGAACTTGACTCGTTTACGGTGGTTGCTACTAGACAATATAACTGGGCGCTTCCTAATTCCAAGAGAGGCAATCGCAAGCTTGCCATTGAATGTGTTCAGCCAGTGGAAGTTGATTCAATGCCAGATATACCGGGATCAAAGAGTGGTTTGTGAGATCGATTCCTCTCCACTAGGTCAAGTGAACGAAAAAGAGATCATAGAGGAACTAGAGCGCATGCAACATTTGACCGAGTTATCTATCGACGTGTCGAAGTCTTCTTCTGCCATGAAAATATTTCAGTCACCAAATTTACAGAGATGCATAAAGAGAGCAAGAATCATTGATTCTCAAGAGGACTTGACACAGATCGTAATAAGTTACTCACCAACAGGCACCGGCGTTTTCTCGCATTTAGAGAAGCTTTATCTACATAATTGCTGCGCGCTTAGGGAGATGGAGATTACTCAAGGAATAGGACAAGTGCCTAACTACTCTTGCTTCCCTAATCTCGGTGTAGTTTGCGTCAAAAGGTGCGGGCTTTCGGACTTGTCCTGGCTCGTGCATGCTCCAAAACTCAAGACTCTGGCGGTCATGGATTGCGATTTGATGGAGAAGATCATTGGGGATAGATTTGCATCGGAGGAAGTAGCTGCTTCAGGACTATTCTCATGTCTTCAAGACCTAATAATCATAAATCTTCCAAGCCTAACGAGCATTTATGACCATACTCTACCCTTTCCTCGGCTGAAATTACTTGCCATAGGCGAGTGCCCTCGTCTCAGAAAGTTGCCGGTGGACTCCAACAGCTCGCGGGGAAGCTTGGGACATGCCCTTGTGGACAACGACTGGTGGGCCAAGTTGGAGTGGGAAGACGATGCCGCCCGGACCAATTTCACCGCCCGGATCAAGAGCTGGGTCTATGGAGTAACTTTCTACCCATAGGCGGGAAGGACACTCGTTAGTGAAGCTGCACTCGGCCTCATCAAGGGAGTGGAGAGTCGGAGGCGGAAAATCTTCCAAGTTGCGGGCCGTAGTTCACCATATCTGTGTAAATACTTCTTCTTTCTGGCTTGCTGGTGTGTGTGGGGGTGTCTAAGCAAGTGAACTCTCCTCGCCAAATGTAGGTTCAATCAGGTAAAGCACGAACTCTGCTCTATATTGATCCCACCAAGTACGTTGTTTAACATTATTAAGTGTCATTTACTCAACATCCCCGTCACTCGGACTGACAGGGGATTCTCTTGAATAGTTTGGTACAATTCACTTGTCCATTCGGGTCATCCTAAAGCCATTTCCACTAGGCTTTGCTTCTTATTGAATTTCCAGTAACATAATTCGCGGCGGGGTTCAAAATCAGATGGGGCCATTCCACCCAAATTTAAGAATCTTGGTAAACCATCCTTTGTTTGTTGGCTGGAAACCATTTTAAAGCGGGAAGAACACAAACAAACCTTGGTAAGCAACCCAAATGAGACTTGGTACACCGAAACAAATTAGCAGTCGAATGAGATAAAAAGTAGTAAGCCACGTAAATAAAGTTTTAGTGTTCATATTAGAGTTTATAAATTTAAAGCCATGGGAATGACAAATAAAAGATGGTAATCAATAAGAGAGTCGATAATTTTAAATAAAAATATCAAATTATCGTAAATGGGACTTAGTTAAGGGTAAGAAAAATTGATAATTTGAAAGTGGAAAGAAGGAATGTTGGTTAACTCAAAATAATTTTATCAATTTGTCCGTAAGTTACCAACAAATTACTAAAATCAAGTGAGCGGTGACTTTGTTTTTCACCGACAGTTTTTTTAAACTCATCAACTTTTTCAAAAATCAACCATCACGGGAATTTTTTTTTTTCTAATAAGACGGTGAAATTGTTTTTTGGCGGTCTCCATGGAAATATCAAAGTCACTTGCTTATCCAATGGGGAACTAGCGCTTATCCTCGAAAGAATTACCCAAATCCATGGATTGGAATTGCGATTTTTTCTTCCATCGATGATCCGTAGTATTTTTTTTTTGTGCAAAAGATCCGTAGTATTGTAGTTAGGTATGGTAATATGTCAGTAATTTCATGTTAATACATTTCATCTTTTTGTTGCCGGTACCCTGTTATGGAGTGAGATGAGGGAAATATATAACTTTGGGAAAATATGAAAACAATGCCTCAGTTTTCACGCTTTTTGGTTGTCTTCGCCCGGCAATGGTGTAGTGGAAGCTGAACTTAACCGTGCACCGTTAACAGTCAATGGTATATGCAAGTAGGTGATTGAATAGAATAAAGTCCTAAAATCGAGCGTATATGGATGAGTCGCATTGCCCACAATTTGATTTCGTGTATCTAAACATTGCCTCTTTTTCGAAATGGACATGATAAACTCTCGAAGTTGCCCAATCCATATTGTGTGTCTCGCCTGAATGGCCCTATTTTGCGGTTGGTCCTCTTGAATTAGCACTAAAATTGGAATAAAAACAGGAACTATTCGAATACGAATTAGGAAAATAAGACAACAAAATTCGCATAAAAAATAAATCCCAAATATAGAATGTTTGGTATCGTCCTGTCACGAACAAATAGATTTAAGATAATGACACAAATAGTCATTGAACTTTGACACAATATACAATTTGATCCCTAAACTTTTAATTTATTCAATATAGTCCCTGAACTTTTGGTACATGTTCAATTTGATCCCTGAACTAGTCCCTGAACTTGAATTAATGGAAAGACTATATTGAACATTTTCATATAGTTCATGGACTTAAATTAAACATGTATCAAAAGTCCTAGGACCACATTATACAAATTACAAGTTCAGGGATTATATTACACATTGGGTAAAAGTTCATGGACTATACAAATAAATTAAAAGTTCGGGGACCATATTATATATTGAGTCAAAATTTAAGAATTTTTTATGAAATTTTCCTAATAGATTTATTCGTGCAGAACTATTACAAAGTAACAAAGCAAAGGAGCGGTGAGACTGTCTTCTACGTGGCGCACGGCGAGACGCTGTCGTCGAACTCAACTTCCGGCGGCGGCGCAGTGGCAAATGGAGCAAACGTCCCCGGTTCATGGGAACGCTGCAAATTCAACTCCACATCTCTCTCACTTCCCTTGCCATGTTCCTCCTCAAGGTAGTTCCATCAACAACCATCATCACCCTCTTCTTCCCTCTCGAACCTGATGCGTTCGTGCATTTTTTCAAAGACTTGGAACTTATTTTTTCCTTCTTTCTGGTTGTCTTTTGCATGGGCAGGCATGGAGATCGACGGCTTTCGGGGTATATGGGTACCTCAATTTCACCAAGCCCGGCTTCGTGTGAGTAGGATCACCCCGATTTTTCATGCTTTGATTTAGTTCTCTGGGCTTTATTCGTTTCATCGTTTTGGAGATGCGGGAGTGAGAGGTTATGCAATTTCTTTTGTTGCCTCGCGGAATCTTAGATTCAGGGGGAGTGAGGTAGAAAATAAACAATTTGTCAAATCTTTGTACTGGGACGAGATGGAAAAATCTTACGGGAACTGTCGCAGAATGTAGAATTCAATTAACGTAATTTGCGCCCAACATACTCATGAGTCCGCCCCTATGCCTAGATGTTGTGGTAGTTTTCGGGTCATGATTCAATTGTATGTCCCTGGCACTGAAGATGGTGATTGGCAACTTGCAATCAGGGGTCGTGCTCTGGGCGGTGCAGGATGTGCTTGTGTGTGGTTACTTGTACAAGTTAATGCATCTGCGTGTGTGTGAACATGCACAGGCATAAGTACATGAAAACATGTGCACAAGCACACACATACCACCAGCTAGAATGTGTGCGGTTCCTTCTGAAGTTGAGTCTCCATATGGACACTGTCAATTGATTTACACCTTTTTTGTGAAATTCCTCTTTATCTCATTGTATAACTTGCTCTACAGCGAACATGCAAAGAAGTTCAAGTCAGAAGAGATGGAGGCTCGAATAGAAGGGAAGAATTGCATAGTTACAGGAGCTAATTCTGGACTTGGTTATGCTACTGCTGAGGGTCTTGCTTCACGGTATTTGCTTTCAACTATGTTATTCATGTGCTTACTTTGCTTTCTCATGCGTGAATGCATGTTCAACAATCTCTACGGGAACTTCTCATTTTATTTCAAATTAGTAAATAATCTCGAGTTCAATTTTTTCTTTCAGTGGGGCTAATGTTTATATGATTTGCCGCAACAAGGAGAGAGGAGAAGCTGCCCTCTCTTCGATAAAATCTACTACGGGAAACCCGAATGTGCATTTGGAGGTATGTAGTAGTTTCCATTTATTATTTTTTATTTGTCTCGAGATATTCTTATGGAAGGATTTTTGGTGTTTGCCTGTTGTAGGTCTTTAGAGGTCATACTTCTGGATGACCGAGTAGATCACCAGTTACATAGATATTTGATTACATGTGAGGTGATGCCTTACTAATCTAGTGTGCAGGTATGTGATCTTTCGTCTGTCAACGAGATCAAGTCATTTGCATCCAGATTTTCTTCAAAGGATTTACCTCTTCATGTCTTGGTAAGTCTCTGGTTGGTTTTCAATCTCCGACTCTAATGCTTGTGGGTTTGCATATGTGTGTTTGTATACATATGTAACTGCTAACAATATGTACAGATATTCGTGTCTGCCTGCACACTAGCCCCTTAGTGCTTGATTATTTAGGGTTTCTCAATCTGTCTGATTTTTCCCCTTGCTTGTTCTTCTCAATTAGCCTAGTTGATATGCAATAAGAAAGCACTATGTAAATTATTTGGCAAGTTTTTATTTTTTCATTTTCATATCAATGGTGTGTCCGGGACTCTTTGAGCATTTGATAATCCCCATCTAGTGTGATAGTCCTCTCATTTCACACATACTGGGCAATTACCCAAGACACACAGATCTGTGCTCCTGGGGTAGTCCCAAGAGAATGCGTAAGTGTGGTGATTCCAATCCATGCTAAAATCAAGTGTAAATATTTTGCAAATTGTCATGGCTATATCTTCCTCAATATTGCTGATAAAGTCTGATACGTCTAATGTCATGATCAGGTCAACAATGCTGGCTTGCTTGAGCAAAAGCGGATCACCACGCCAGAAGGGTGCATTTCCAAATTTTTTCTTCGTCAGAGTTGATGAATTTATGTTATAGTCTCCTATAGAAGCATTGACTTATTTTGTTTCCTACATTTTCTGGATGTTCAGGTTGGAGTTGAACTTTGCGGTGAATGTATTAGGAACTTTTGCAATGACAGAATTAATGTTGCCTTTGCTTGATAAAGCGGCACCTGATGCTCGAGTCATCACTGTTTCTTCTGGTGGAATGTATACAAGTCCCTTGACCACTGATCTAGAGGTCAGCAACTCAGCATCTTTCGAGCAGTTGGAAAATTATTTAAATTTCCTATTTGTTGTCCTGAATTTTCAGTGTTTTTTTCTGCAGTATAGTGATGCCAACTTTGATGGGGTGCAGCAATATGCTCGAAACAAGAGAGTTCAGGTTTGCAGTGTCACCTACTCACTGTTCAATTCTTCTTTATTTCGTGCGATTTTTTTTTTTTGGGCGTTACTCTTTCAGAACACTTAAGTGGGCTATTTGAGCAATACTGTCCCACTCTGTTTTCATCAGCATGTCAAAATCTTCTCTTCGTACAAAATTTCTAGTGAAGAACCACCAACTCTCTCTTGGGAACCAATATTCTATTATCTAATTATTTCCTAATTGAATGGCCTAATATGAACTTACTGGCTTCAAAACATTGGTACGTTTTCATTGTGGCTTGGATTCTTCGGTGAGTTCCACCCAATTCATGACTATATCCGAAATAGTTGAGGTTGAGGATTGGGCGCCCCTCGAGGTGCATGGGAGTAGCCCTCCATGATACATACAGGTTATGTCTGTGAAAATCCCTTATTAGGGGTTTGCGATGGATCTTGGTCGCTTTATGAAATTCTGTGTTATTTCTGTGGGTAAATTACGTTGAGATCCTTCGAGTTTTGATCAAGTTACTTGGAAACCTTTATTTTCATATATTACTCTGATGCCCTCCAATGTTGCTCAATCTGGACACCCCCTGTATTTGCATAAGCTACTCAAACCGCTCCTCTGTATATTCAAAAACTACTTTTCTCATTTTTACTATCTTTATTTCAGAAACTTACTAAAAGGGGTGTTAGAGTAGTTCTTGAAAATACAATATGGGGTGTTAAAGCCGCAGAGATATGATTGTGAAAGGAACTTATGTGAGAACTGTACTTCTTTAGTCAAACAAACCAAGGCAAGTATTCTCCTGTGTTGTTTTGCCATAGCCAAGGACATTTGGCTTATTTTTCGGTTGATAGAAGCACCATATAATCTGCTTAAATTGTTGAAAGAAAAAAATTTCTTTTCGTTCCTATACATTTACACCTTTCCTTATCAGTACCTTGTACTTTTATATTAATTGGTCTGATTAAGTCCTACTTTCACAAATTTTCTTAAGTCCCTCTAACACCAAATCCAACCTAATCCAGTTAACCTGGCTGTCAGATGACGTCGTAATGTGACGTGGATAAATTTTTTTCAATGTGGACGATTACGTGGGCGTCTACATTAGCCAAAACTTTATCGACATCATACTCCGACGTTGTCTATATTGTGTAAATTTTTCCATACACGTCCATGTAGGCATCTGCGTATTTATTCGCATCATACTTTGGCTTTGTCTGACTGCCTTGTCCCCTAAATCTGGTCAGATTTGGTGTTGGGGAGACTTTGTAAAAATAGAGAGAATTTGATTAGACAAATAAAAGGTATAGGTACTTGATTAGAAAAAGCATGAAAGTGGACAAAATGCAATATTTTTCCTTTGCAGAAGTACCAACAAAAGGACATAATGACTGTATCGTAGATGCTACTTTGTTCAGATCTGTAATATGCTCTATACAAATGCACCCTTCCTTCCAAGGAAAATGTTATTTTTTAATGATTCTGGTATTTCCCTTTGAATTGCCTTATTATAAAACAAATCCCCATACTTAGAGAGTTTTGCCTATCTGCTCTGGTTCTCTTCTTCAGGTTAGAGGCACGTTCTAGGAATTAATTTGGTTCGATTGCTAAGACTTTACTAGAGTTCCATTTGACTCAGATCATAGTGATCTTGATAAAGATTTTGAGCTGACAAGTTTCAACAGATTCAAGTACTAAACAAATCTTAAATTTGATGAAAACTTTTGAACATACAACAGTGGATGATCCGCTGTATTGGAAAGATGTGATTGTGAATTGCCAAAATATTTGAAAAAGGTTGTGCTTCCCGCATGAAGCGTCATCTAGACGAAGTTGCTGTTCATAGTCACTGTTAACTCTTATCTGTTCTTTTAGGTAGCGCTAACAGAAAAGTGGGCTGAGGTACACAAGGAGAGAGGGATCGGCTTCTACTCGATGCACCCTGGTTGGGCTGAGACACCGGGTGTTGCTAAGAGCTTGCCTGGTTTCTCTAAATCGTATGGCAATCCTTTTATTTGCGGTTACTTTCTTAGTTCACTGCCTCCTATTTACTTGGCTTTATTTTTTACTCTGATTTATTTATCTTTCTTATTTTTTTGATAAGGCTTTCTGGAAAGCTGAGAACTAAAGAGGAAGGTGCCGACACAATTATTTGGTTGGCTTTACAGCCGAAAGACAAATTGGTCTCTGGTGCATTCTATTTCGATAGAGCACAGGCGCTGAAACACCTCATGTTTGCAGCTACTGGAGGCTCTCATACTCACATTGACTCGATAATTGGTAATCTACGGTCTCTATCCTGCCTTGCTTGATGAAGCAGGAGTCATTTCAAGGATATACCCGACCCTAGCTGCAGACTGTGATTCAAATTTCAGAAGGTAGCGTCTTTTTTTCTCTTCAAGGTTACAGTTTCTTGTGGCGGTTATAGACAACATTTGCGGTAGTGGAGTGTTTGCCTGCGATATCTGTGTAGACTTATATGCACTGTGCTGTCTAGATATGGGTGTTGAACCTGTATCCCAAAGATGGGACGATTCATTTTATTCTCTTTCAAATGAGTTATTGAGAAGGAAATTAAATGAAATTTTACATACACTCTCTCCTGGTGCTTCCACTATATGTCATGCGTGCCTCGTTTGCATGCAAAACACAGACTAGTATTATCTATTTGAAGATTCTAGTACGGTGAGAAGTATAGCGATATGTGTTTCATATTTGTTCCATCATAACTCGTGCTTTCTGTGGTCAGTGATCTGTGTCGCAATTAACTAAGCAAATTCACATATTCTCGCTGGTCAGTCGTATACAATGAATGCCTAATTTGGAAGCCAGCTCGAGGACTAAAAATCAACAGCTTTCCTTCGAGATTCGTGATCACCCAATGGAAGTTTGGCTTCCAAACTCTTTATCGATATTTTCGAGTTTACAAAAGGAAAACCATTTTGGTTGTCAGCTATGAAGTCTAGCTAGAAAATTACTAGTCAATGGTCTGCTTACTTTATCTGTAGTTTCACCAGTATTAAAGGTTTATGAAGGTTTTTTACAGGCAACTCTTAGAAAATAAAGCAATTGGCTTGCTGCAACTGATCAATCTCATTTTTCAGGCAAGTCTACAAAGTGCAATTTCTGACTAGGAATTGAATTTGGGTTCTGATGGAGTATGAAACCATTGAAGATGTCTTAGCAAGTTCATCGTCCAGGTTGCATTTGAGTTTTGAATGTACCCATTAGGTCATCTATAAAACCAGGAGATAACAGCTGCTGATTCTACTACATGCCCTCTCTGATCTATTTCTCATCTGTCACATTGTCGATGAAATAAATCATTATATGTCTGGTGAAAGGCGGCTCTTACTTTTTCTTAGTCCTTTCTTGTTATTCTTCGCCATTCATGTTGATGAGATTGTGCATTTGATTTACAATGGGGATCAAGTAGACCATTGAACTCTTCCTCACCAACCAAACTGATGTATTTCATGCATAAAATTTCTTGAACTAAAGTGCCTTGGACTCGAATTTATGACTAACTAAATAAAAATATATAAAAAGGTTTCCATTATAGGATTGCTGGAAGGCTTCGACTAAAACTGATTTAGTACAGACATCTTCTGGTAATCTATATCAGAAGAGTCTCTGTAAGTCAACAAGAGGAGTACACTTATCTAAACAAGGGACACACTCTTCACGCATTGGTCGAAAGCCTCGCGGGTCTTGTCGTAGATGTGGTCTCTTTGAGGCCAAAACTTCTCGACCTTCGACAGCGCATAAGACATCCCGCTGTTGCAGAGCCTGCCCATCTTCACGAGCTTGATGCAGCATCTGTCCGTTATTTGTGTCGTCTTGTAGAACGTGAAGAAGATGATGAAGAAGACGAAGGCTTTGAGAGCAGCTTTAAGAGATTATAATGTTGGATTCTGATGTTGCTCCTCTCAATCTCTTAATACCGCACGTAAAAACTGATTTCCCCATTAATTATCATTAGAGAAAACTAATACTAAAAATGAAATCATCGCATATTTATAAATTGTGAAATTTGAAAATGATAATAATTTTATTACGCATGCGTGCGTGTACACATGTGGAGAGGAGGCGGAATCTAAACGATTCAAAGTAGATTAGACAAGATGTGATTAGAAGGCAAACATAGACCGGTGTTTCACCAGAAATGGGTTATCGACCCAGATAGTGAACAGTTCTTCACCAAAAGTTTGATCTTTGGTTTTTTGTGATAAAAAGTTTGGTGGAGATTTCAGACAGGAATCTGCAATCGACGTAATCAAGAAGATGAAGAGCAAATTTAAAGGCTAAAAGAGATGGCGAATGCGGGAAATTGAATTGACGCTAAAGCGTAAAAATACATTGGAAAGATAAATTATTCATGATGATGAATCCTTTACAGTAATTACACGCCGTCCTTTATACTTCAATTATCATAGCCATCGATTAGCAGTTAATTATCTCGAATGCAGTGTAAATGCATTCCCGAGATTTTAGCCTCCTCTCATCACGTCAACCCTTATGCATAAGCGATTACGACTCATGAGATGCTACTGTGTTAACCGTCGCTCAGTATCGTCGCCTTCCATCGATATCTTCATTTTGCCACTTTTCTTCTTTTCCATATGTCCAACACTTAGCCAAATGTGGCAAATTATAATCGTCAACCAATCTCTATCGTACGTCGACAGCTATATATCAAGATCATCGATAATCACTGCTTATGGCCATCGACAAGTGTTTTCATTATCGGTGACATCACCGAGCTCACACCCACTCAAATCAGTGTCATGCGATTAAAAAAGACTTGGTTATTTTTTGGTATAAACAACTGATCTTAGATACCAAGAAGGTGAAAGCCAAGAATAATAAACGGGTAGATGGAAGATTCCTCTTGCCGAAGATGGAAGTGAATGCACAACACATAATGCTCATAAACAAAGCAGGGACATCTAACATTCATTCAAGTGATTACTACTAGGAGAAACACATTGGAAAACATGACAATCGAGAATGACATTGTAAGCTGTAACATCCTACGTCCATCGGGAACTATGATGATTTGCATGGACCACCTCTTTATATAGCACTAGAGAGAGACGCAGTGAATATTCATTTTCGTGAGCCAGCTCCTTAAATAGGAAGCTTATAGCAAATTAAGGAACTATACGCAGGCAAACGATGGCTGTTTTCTGGAGAATCCTAGCCATTGAAATCTGGTTCTTTTGCATCTGCGCCAACGTATACTGTCTACCCGACACGACCGTATCGTACATAATTTGCAATGGGATCAAGATTCCCCACTGTAGTGCTTACGGCCTTGCGGTGGAGGGTGTCATTGATGATCTAGCAGGGCAAACGGCAAATAATGGCTACAACTATTACACTCGATCTACGAACTCGGCCCAAGTTTGCTATGGCCACGCGGCTTGCGCTGGGCACCTTTCGAGTTTTGATTGCCATCGGTGCTTGGTAAATGCCGGGTACGACCTCGCAAATGGGTGCCCCGATAATACCGGGGCGCAAGAGCAACTCAAAGATTGTCGGATGACGTACGAGAATTATGAATTCAAGGAGTGAATGGAGGATGATCAATAATGCTAAATTAGTGTGGCCGGGGGGGTCCAAGTTGTTTGGCAATTGAATAACTGTGGTAGGTATTGTAATATATATCTTATAGTGTTGTTGTGATCGTTAAGTGTTATCAAATACCGTTGAAATATTGTTGACACCTGAATTTTTTCCGACAAATCAAGTGGACATTTTTTTGCCATAACAAAAAACAATAACAACAACAGCAGCAGCAGCAGCAATAATAATAAACCCACTGAAACGGGCGATCCTCCTTACATCATTCTCCGTGCGTCGTCGCTGCCGGTGAGTGACGTCATTCGCCGCCTCCAAGCTTCACCGACCGTTCTCCTTTCACGCTCTGTTCCGCGGCCGAGTGTTCAGATCTCACTCGAGGTGCCTCCGCTGGTGCTGTTTTCAATCATTGTCGATCATGGAAGCTTCTGTCATCGATCCGATTGCAACTCGCTGCCTCGCTCAGCTTCATTGACCTGGTAACATCTCTACTCTGTTTTGCGAAGGAGGAAAAGCGATATCACATCTTCTCTATTAAGATCAAATCGGCTCCGTTTGGGTTTATTTCGTTGGTTGCATATGTCCCGAACTGACTTTGAATGAAACCTGGTCTTAAATTTGAGTTAATTATGTGCCATTTCTTTCCTCAGTCGAACGCACGCAACCTGTTTGCTCATATGTCTCTGAGATGTGGCTAATGAGCAAGTCTATGTTATTGTCCGGATCTGAAGTTGTTTGAACATAATGCACGTGATGTCAATCGTTTCCATTAGCTGTTAAGCATGGTTTCTGACATATTTCCTTGTTACCGACAATGAAACTGAGCATGCATTATTGCTCCTGTTTCTGTATTTTGTGTTCCTATATGCTCCGTCACAGTGGTTTCGATTTTGCCTGCACGACATTGTAAGCTGTGACATCCCATGTTCATCCGGAACTATGATGATCTGCATGAACCACCTCTTTATATAGCACTAGAAAAAGACGCAATTAATGGGGGTTTTCATGAGCCATCTGTTTGCATAGCAAGCTTAGAGTAAATTAAGGAACTGTAGATAGGTATACGATGGCTGTTCACCAGAAAAATCCTAACCATCGGAATCTGGTTCTTTTGCATCTGCGTTGACGTATATTACTCGAAAGACACGGCCATAGTGTACACAACGTGTAATGGGATCAAAATCCCCTACAGAAGTACTTATGACAATGAAGTGAAGGGTCTTTGATGATATGGTCCATGAAACATCAAATAAGGGTGTTTTGCAGAAAATTGTCGACAAAGAACCTTCCAAAATGTGGATCAATATGGAACTCAATCAAGATGTGAAAGGTACTTTGTTGATTCATGGACAGGACAAGCGAATTGACAAAAAAATTAGAGGTATGAAGACCGGAGGCAATCACGACCAACCATATAAAAGGAATATGAAATGTAGAGATAACATGAAGATAAAATTAAACTAGTATTCATTGATTGTATGGCGGTACTTTGCTTGAATTACAAACCCAATATTTGTAGCTACTAGCAACTGTTAATAGCAGTTACAAAAGAAAGCAAATGACATCGTACGTAACTCCTAGAATTCAACAACATGTATTTACAAACGGTTATCAAAAGACCCACTACTCGACGATCGTGGCCTCATCACTTGTCTCATGTCGATAGTTTATTCCACAGCTTGCAACCACTCTTTTTGATAGTCATAGCATTCCATGTTTCTCCGCCATTATCATAAGTAGCTTTCGAGATTTACGACTTTACAAACTAGTGATCATGCTGGATTCACAATTGAATGGGCCGTTATGATCGTGGCCATAATTGTTGGCCTCATGATTTCAACACTTGCCTTTGATTTGTCGATCCGCGCTTCAACTTCAATCCTTTTATCGATTGACCAAGTTTCACTTACCGACATTTCGTGGCTCAATACTTAGTGATTTCCTCTTATATCTCTTGTCGGCAACTCCTCATTGCTTTTGTTGATTATCCATAGTTGCCAACCAAAAGGACTTAGCAAATTTTCCTCTAACCATGTCTTGCCCGGTCTTATCCAATTCGAGTCCCCAGTCAAGGATTGGGGTGTCAACAAATGGCTATGAATATTACACTCAATCTACAGACTAAAGCCAAGGTTGCTATGGCCATGCGGCTTGTGATAAGCATTTAAAAGCGTTTGGTAACGGCCCAAAATTTCTATTCCTGAAATAGTAAAAGAACAGAAACGTGTTCGGTAACGGCATAAAATTTCTTTTTATTAATAATATTTTAATAATATATTTTAATATTTTAATATTTCTTTCTTTTCGTTTTTTCTTCTCCTCCTTCTTGGCCATGGCCGGTAAAATATTTTTTAATTAATAATACTTTTATTAACAATAATTTTTTTATTTTTTTTTGCCATGGCCGGTAAAAAATTTCTTTATTAATAATACTTTTATTAAAAAATAATTTTATTATTATTTTTGGCCATGGCCGCAAATTTTTTTTATTAATAATATATTTTTCTTTTTTTTGGCCATGGCCGGTAAAATATTTTTTTATAAATATTTTTTTATTAATAATATTTTAATAAAAATAAATTTATTGAAAATATTTTTTTTACTTTTTTTGCCATGGCCTGGTCACTGGCCATAGCCGGTAAAATATTTTTTTATTAATAATATTTTTTATTAAAATATTTTAATAAAAAATATTTTTATTGAAAATATTTTTTTCCTTTTTTTTTGCCATGACTTGGTCGCTGGCCATGACCGATAATTTTTTTTATTAATAATATTTTTTTTTTCATGGCCTAGTCGCTAGCATATTTGGTAAAATAATTTTTTTTTGCTCATGGTAGGTAAAATATTTTTTTTATTAATAACATTTTTTTATTAAAATATTTTAATCTCGCCAGATACGGCGAGGTGGCCCTCGTCTTAGGACATTAGAAGCTACATTAAAAACTAAGAAAAAGAAGAAGAAAAAAATTGATTCTCATTTTTGTTCCCAGAATCAAGAAGTTACTTTTTTTTTTATTCTTGATTCTGTTCCAAAACTGATTCTGGGATCAATTTTTGGCAAAATTGTGCCCAGGCACAAAAATTTTAACAAACGGATTTATGTTCCCAAACTGATTCTGGGAACAAAAGAAAAGAATCAAACACTATTTGGCAAGTTGCCAAACAGACCCTAAGTGTCCATCTTGTTGCTGAGGCGAGAAGGATGGAACAAAATATAATGGAGTTTCTGTAGCTTCAATGAAACTATCTTCACTAGGCTCTGAAGCAGTAGATGGCTTTAAGGGAGCGGTCGTGCTTTTGGATGTCCTGCGTTGATTCAGGTGGAGCTTCCTTTAGCTTGCTTTGTATATGGACCCTTAGGTGAATTTGAATCCACCTATTGGGGAGTTATTTGCTTATAACATACGGCTTTGGCGATTGGGTTAACTCCATTGTATTGGGATCCCTATACCGTGACAAGTTGTTGAAAATCGTATATCTTTCCTTTTTGATGGGTATATTCCTTTACATGGAGAACGGACTTACTAAGGATTTTTTGTTTGCAATGTAGAAAGGACTTTCTTAACTGAGAGTGTATTCCAATTGTATCGCTTCATTGTCATTCTAGTCTCATCACTGATTTCCCGAGGAAGAAATCTTGCTTCAACTTAATGTTTACTTTCTTTCCTGGGGTGGGGGAAGAACAAAAGAGGATTGACTTAATGTACTCCAATTGTGTTGCTTCATTGTGCCATAGATGTGAGCTAGTGATGAGGTTGCTTATTGTTTACTCTCTTGTGACAGCATGTGGCAAGTGGAAATCGTTTTTTCTCACATTGAGTTGTATTTAATCACTGTATTTAGATAACTGGAGTGTGAAGGCAATCGGAAGGAAGACCCTAGAAACTGGTAGGATGAGGTACCTGATCTGCATTGTCCTTCGCAGGTTGAAGAGTAGTTTCAGAGATGATAATGAGCTTCGCTCTTATTTGATTGTCTTTGGAGATAATGTTATTTTTTGCGCTTGGTGATGGAATTTTTGGCTTATTTGCTGATTTATGGAGCTAATGGTGATGCAGGTACTGAAGCTGCGCCAAGGAAGGACGCAGCACCAGCTTCTGCTTGATAGTTATGATTATTTTGGGGCATGATCATGTTATTTTGAAGGATTAGTTATTGATATCTGGACGCAATGAACTTTTGACATATACAGTTGCCCATTTAATATTCTTTGTTTTTGTTTGATCTATGTGGCATTATTTGCAATTTTGAATGAGCATTAAGCCTACTATCCTTAGTTATATCTTTAATTTCTCTTGATTGAAGCGAGTTGCCGAGTCTTATTATGTTAATCCCGACTCTGAGAGTGTGCCCTTTCTCAGCCTGTATGGTCTCATGGGAAGTTTAATAGGCAGCAAGATGGTTCTTTGGAGGTGAAAACGTATCCTGTTTCCTCCAACATTTAGACTATGTCCAATTTAAATCTTTTGAAAAATTAAAAGATAGACAATGACATGCACCGTGCAGGTCGCAATTCGCAATCTATTGAATAGGCTGAGACCTTTTTACGCAAAAGATAGAACAAGATCAAATTCGAGCTTTGCTAAGATCAAAACGTAAGCTATGGACTTATTGTACATAAACACAATCGACATTTCTCAATTTTTCATTGATGATAGTTTTGAGAACATCCATTATATTTTGTTCAGAGCATCTGTAACAAGCCATCTACTTCAAAACCGACGCCATGTACTGCAAAACTAACAAAGCAAGCTAAAGGAAAACACTAGAGAGGCTCACTTAAGGGACCTAGAACTATAAACTCTGATGGGGAAAATCTTAGCCAGTCCTCTCACACGCTCCACCTGAATCACCGCAGACATCCAAAAGCAGGACCGCTTCCTTAAAGCCATCTACTGCTTCAGAGCCTAGTGAAGATAGTTTCATTGAAGCTACAGAAACTCCATTATATTTTGTTCCATCCTTCTCGCCTCAGCAACAAGATGGACACTTAAATTCCCATTTTACCAAGTACATACCGCCTACGGATATCATTGCTTAAGCTTATAAAGGAAAACAAAAGAAACACAACCTTGTTCTCAAAACAAATCGCTGCTCCAGAGCAAATTAATCACCTTTTCCAATTTACTAAATTGCCTACCTAAAATTCTACATCATTGCCAAGTTTATAAAGGAAAACGAGAAGAAAAAAAAACAATCTTTTGTTCTCGAGAGACAATACGTCCAGTCAAAAAAGCCCCCTTCTCTTCAGCAAATGCCGAGGAAGGACGAGAGCCACGAAGCTTGCATCATGGTGGTTGACCCGAAATGGAAAGCAAAAAGCTTCTCTCATGGTTGACGCGGAGGCTGAGGGGGCTCGGGATCCAACAGCCGCGACCGGCGGGACTTTTGGGGGAGGCGACGTGCCAGAGGCAGATCTGAGCTTGGAGCGACCGGTGGGGCTTTTGGGAGAGGCGGAGGCGGAGGCGGTGGGGGAGTGCTAGAGAGAGAGAGAGAGAGAGAGAGAGAGAGCCTTCGATGGGGCTTTGGAGGCGACGATAGAAGTGGAAGCGAAGGGGGGCTCAAGATCGGAGTGCTGGAGAAAGAGAGAGAGAGTCTCTTTGTTATCCTTCTAGAGCAGGTAAAGTCGAAAATTGAAAAGAGGAGAGAGAGAATTGAAGCGGGATTTTAATTTTTAGCATTTATTGTTGCTCAGTTGCTCAGTCCTTTCCTGCTCGCGAAGAGAGAGAAAAATAAGCTTTTTTAATTTTCTATTTTTTAGCTAAGTCGATACGTGTCGGCCTTTGAATGGAACATGCACGCCACGTAGGACGATGACGTGGTGCTCAGTGAGCACTCAATATTTTCTTGGAAGAGAGAGAATAAAGCATAAAGGAAGAGAGAGAGAGGGGGATAGAGGAGAGAGAAAAGTGAGTGAGAGGAGAGTTGCAAAGATAGAGGAAGAGAGAGAAAAGGGAGAGCGAGAGAGAAGTGGGTGAGAGGACGGTTACCGACAGTGAGACAGGAGAGAGTGAGGAGAGAGAGTGTACGTGAAAAGAAAAAGAAATACAAAGAAACCGAGATCCCATTTGATCCGATCCGAATCAAATCGAATTATCAATTAACCAAGTTTTTTTTATTTATTTTCACTTGGTTCAGTTCGGTTTCGATTTCGGTTTCGGTTCGGTTTTCGGTTCATTTTTTACATCCCTATTTGCGACTATTACACTCAGTCTACAGACCAAGCTTGCTATGGCCACGCGGCTTGCGATGGGTATCTTTCGCAGAATGAATGCTTTGTGTCCTTGATAAACGCTGCTTATGAATTAACAAACCTATGTCCATACAATATCGGAGCGCAGATACAGTTTAAGGATTGCAGGATGAGGTACGAGGATTATCGGTTCGTTGAATGAGCGTACGGAGGATTATTGAGCACAAGAAGCTTAATCATGGGTCAAAATTGTCTAATTGGGGATTGAATAATTGTGTCGAGGTGTCACAAAAGCAAATAAGAGCTCATTGCTCAAGAAATAAAAAGCTTTTCGGGATCCATGTCGATCGAGTGATTGAATGTACAAGCTTGTGATTTGTGTGTTTGTTGTGTGTATGTAAGGATTGTGCGTCGATTAAGTCATTTATATGTGACCATATGACCAGCTATTCTTATGGCGGAAAGAAATGAGTCATTTTGATAAGGATGTTTATTTAAAAGAATGATTATAGTTTCGTCGAAAAAAAGTAGACGAAATACTTTTTGAGATACGGATTAATCGAAAGTAAAAATGAGTTCTTTTAAGTGATTGGTGGTTCTTTGTATAGATTATCATTCAAGTGTTTATACTTACACCTAACGGGTAACAACGGTTAATGAGAAAATCACGTGCTTAATATGGTCCTTTTGCCTAATAGTAAGCGTGAAAATATTTAATTGTTGAGGCAAATGAGGTCTGAAAAGATTTGAACTCAGGACCTCTAGCTCTGATACCATGTGAGATTTTATTGGACTTTAGCCAAATGTTCTAAAAGCTTAAATTGTTAGATGAACGCATGATGTAATATTTAATTATTCTAATAGTTACCATCCTCCATAGCTGCATTTGAGTTTCACCCCGCAGCTGAACGGTTGTGTTAAACGCACCAAGTGATTGTTAGTTCGATTCCACTTCCTGAACAAGTAGTTATCTTGCTCCAACAGCTCTGACGATTATACCTTGCAGTCCTTCTCTATTGGTTTAATCTCCTCTCTTTTTCTGCATGGGACTCTTTTGTCGACAGACTGCACTTACTCAAATTCAACACTTGGCCATTTTCGCTCGTCCTTATTTTAATAGGGAAAATGACACAAATAATCTCTGAACTTTGACTCAATGTACAATTCAGTCCATGAATTTTTAATTTGTTCCATGTAGTCCCTGAACTTTAACCCAATGTTTAATGTGGTCCCTAAACTTTTAATTTGTTCACTGTGGTCCATGAACTTTTGGTACATGTTCAATTTAATTCTTGAACTTTATAAAAATGTTCAATGTAGTCCTTCCATTAATTCAAGTTCAGGGACTATATTATACATTTTTATATAGTTCAGGGACTAAATTGAACATGTACCAAAAGTTCATGGACCACATTGAACATTAGGCTAAAGTTCAGGGACTATATTGAACAAATTAAAAGTTCATGGATCAAATTGCACATTGAGCTAAAGTTTGGGGACTGTTTGTATCATTATTCCTATTCTAATAAGCTTTCGTCGACCGAATCGTCACTCCAAAGACTCGGGACATTTCTTTTGCTGTCAATAATTACCAATTGGTAATTTGGCAAAAAAGAAAAAGAGAGATTGCTAGTTATCGTTCGATATTGAGATCAAATATGAGTTATTCAACATCTTTGAAAATGCTGCGATGAATGTTCCATACATAGATTTTTTTTTCCTGTTTTTGATAAATTGAATGTTGCTTTAACTCGAGATAAGGACACCATATGTGTCACAACTTTCGTACGCCCCTTATTTGAGTATCATAAATTTTTTTTCGATCACTTAAGGGCCACATTAGTGAAAAAATATTCACTTGAGTACATATTCCGATCATGCGTCCTACAAAAACGTGAACTCTTTGGAGAATGTATCGGCGGTGCAAAGATGGCCATCTGAGTCCGATCTACAGCCATAGCCATCTCTGCAGCCGTAGAAGATGGCGATTCAGAGAGTTGATGTCGGAGAGAGAGTGCTCGTCACCTTTAAGAAAAAAAGGAAGGCCAAGAAGTTGTTGTTGGTGACTCCTCAAATTGGGATTAGGGTTTGTGTGTTCTGATTTTTCCCCAATTTGAAGAATTGGGGCTAGGATTTTGTGAAGAGCATGAATCAATTTAGGGCAAACATATGGCTTAAACGATATTGTTTAGTGGCTAACTCGATGATTTCATTTTGCCGGCGAGCCACATTGGATGTAACAAAATTAATTTAACGCTACATCAAATTTTCCGGTGAGACAAATTGCCAATGGCACTCAAATAAACGATTTTAATAAAAGTGACCCTCAAGTGATTGATAAAAAGGTTATAACTCTCAAGTGAGCGCCGTACGAAAGTTATGGCACTTATAATGTACTTATCCAATTTTAACTCTACATCATAGCCGTAAAAGAAAAACCATAAAAAGCCGTAAATTATACCCACTGTTATACATTTATCCTAAACTTTTTTCTATAACACGACAAATCCCAAACTTATACATGTGTAGCACATTTACCATCCGTCAAAGTTTTATCAACGAAAATCATTAAAAAATCTACCCACGTGAAGCTACGTGGGCGTTCGCGTAGATAGATTTTTGACGGTGCTCATCGGCGGTAACTTGACGAGGTAAATGAGTCATGTGGGTATGAACAATCTAAGATAAACGTGTCGCAACAGCAAGCACATATAGTTTAGGTTGTTTTGGTGGCCTTTGTTCCTTCTAAAGACGATACCACGTCGGCAAGTCGATGAACATGGACGCCGTCCCTCTCTTTTTTTGGGCCCCTATCGTCGTCGTCGTCGTCAGTAAATTGGCCGGCTTTTCAATTAAATACAGAGAGAATCGCCGCTCGCCACCACACTGAAAACACATCACAGTGAACAGTAAGTTTTTGCAGAGAGAGAGAGAGATCGAAATTGGCGCTTCTTTCTAGCTGTCTCGCTTCTGAACGGGAGTCTCTTGCCTTTCCGTGCTCGCCTGTCGTCGATCTCCTGCATCTCCAGATTTGGATTGTGGCCAAAAAAGAGGAGGGGGCCTTTTTTTCCGATTGATCTCCTCCTCTCCCTCCGCGGCACCGACCCTCGATTGGAATCCCCACGATGTCGGCGCGAAGGCGGACCTTGCTCAAGGTCATCGTTCTCGGCGACAGCGGGTGCGCCCTTCTTAGGGTTTTCCTCTGATCTCTCCGCTACCCTTTTGTGCTCTCTTCGTTTCCCGTGTTGGGCTGGCTTGGTTTGTGCTTGATGCGGTTCGGGTTCTTTTGTTTTTTTTTTTTTGGTTGTGGCTCTTGGTTTAGGGTCGGCAAGACGTCGCTGATGAACCAGTATCCTTGTTGGGTGGGTTGGTCCCCGATGTGGTCGGCGGCGACTGGTGGTGATTTTGTCGAATCTCTTTTTGTTTCCTCTTTTTGACCCACATGGGGCTGTGTGAGATTCAGCCGCTTTGGAAGTCCGTGCGTTGCGGGTCGCTCGTGCTTTTCCCCCCTTGTAGCTGATGTTGTGGTTGGGCTTTTGTGTTGGCATGTTTGAATTCCTCTCTGGGCATTGTGAAGCTACCAATCGCCTTTTGCTTTTGGGTTCTTCTTGCTTTGCCATCTTTTTAAGTAGAAAGTCTTCTTTGTTTCCAGTCGAGGAGTGATGGACGGGGACATTGACTCTTTTTTGTTTAAACTTTAGCGCATTGCTTGTCATTGGTCCTTAATGGGAACTGTATGCTCTGTTACGGTGGTTTCGATTTTGCCTGCGCGATGTTCTTTGACTGTTTACGCAGATATGTGCACAAGAAGTTCAGTCAGCAGTATAAAGCTACGATAGGTGCTGATTTCGTTACCAAAGAACTCCAAATTGATGATAAGCTGGTCACCCTGCAAGTGAGTTTAAAGTTCGAATGTTTCTTTCGTCACTGTTGATGTTAACATGGATTAGTCACAGCTGATACACATCTTTAACATATCCGGGGTGTTTCGCAATTGTAGATATGGGACACAGCTGGACAGGAAAGATTTCAGAGCCTCGGGGTTGCATTTTACAGAGGGGCAGACTGCTGTGTCTTAGTATATGATGTGAATGTGATGAAATCGTTTGACACTCTCGATAACTGGCATGATGAGTTTTTGAAGCAGGTTCGTGGTTAAGTTTTCCAATTCGCCCTCTTGGATTAGGTCATTTGACTCATTTCAAGCAGTAAAAGCTTAGATCATGTTCTCCTCTTTTCCCCCTGTATGCTATTTATGTTCTCCTGAAGAACTCGACTATATGACTTTCTATTTGAACCATCATGCTATATACAAGCTCCTCTCTCTCTCTCTCTCTCTGTCTCTCTCTCACTAGGAATACACAGTGGACATAACATGGTTTTTATTACTTTTTTCATATCAGGCGAACCCAGCAGACCCAAGGATTTTTCCTTTCATACTACTTGGAAATAAGATTGACATAGATGGTGGCAATAGTCGAGTGGTAAGCACTTGTAGTTGCAGTTCTGGCTGAATTCATTTGCTTCCTGCTCCTTTACTCAAAGATAGCTTCTGTAGGTTTCTGAGAAGAAAGCTAGGGATTGGTGCGCCTCAAAAGGAAACATACCTTACTTTGAGACATCTGCTAAGGAGGACTACAATGTCGATGCCTCATTTTTGTGTATTGCTAAAGCTGCTCTTTCTAACGAGCATGAGCAGGACATGTAAGTACAACTTGTTTACTCATGTCATATGTAATTGATTCATTCCAGTTTCTTATGGTTGTCTATCACTTCAGATTCATTCAATGTGATATAATTACATTGGAGAACGATGACTTTAGCTCTAGATTCAGGAAATCACCATTTGATTTTTTTGAGCACCAATAAGCGGAAAATCTTGTGTTGTTCTTATTGTAAAAAATATGGATTTTTTAGCACCACTAAGCAGGAAAATCTTGTGATGTTCTTATTGTTAAAAATATGGACTTAAGTGGAAACGAGAAAACCTCAGTGAGGAAATTTAAAACTTTATCTTTCAAGTTCTCTGGGGAGGTGAAGGATGTAGGTAAGCTAATCAATGTTGGAGTTTTTGACCAGGTAAATAAGGATAACCAAAGATGCACTGCAAGCTTTGTCAATTTTACTGAAACACGTACAATCTTGAAATGATAAACAGATCTAATTTTGAGCTACTCTTGTGATTTAAATCTTCTAATTGCTGTAAAGGGTCTACAGTATCTTGAGCCAGTTTTGTTTGGCTAATATAGATATATAGGAGAGATATATTATATTCGGTATATCTTGTCAGAAATATGTTAGGCTTTGGATTTTTAAAGGAATCTTGATGGCGAATTGACCTTCTTTTTTTAGCCTTGTCAATGGAATTGGAATCATATGACTTGTAAATGTCGTAATCTGTGGCGTTGACATCTCACTGAATGATAGGAATTGTCCTTCCATTGATGATATAAATACAGAGTGGAACTTGGACTACAGATAGATAATCTGAAAGAGTTGAGACATTTATGATTGTCATTATTGATAAAAGTTTGGAGTGTTTGTCAATCTTCAAGTTTTTATCATTTACTTCAATTCATATTTCTCTGCTCTCTTTCTAATATGTACTAGGTTACTATGTACTTATGTTATATTCTTCCTCTGTACCATGTATTTAGTTATTTTTCTGATTAACTGTCTTTTTCCAGGATTTCTTTCTCTTGACTCTGCAAATGTTAAAGATTTTCTTTGGTCTGCAAACACAATCTGGTTTTTTTAAAGAAATGGAAGTATTGTTGATGGCACTATGCAGGTGTAATTGTTATTACAAGGTCAATTTGAATGTAATCAATTGATCAAAACGAAATTTCTTTTTGAGCTGTAAGGTGAAACATGAGCAATTTTGAGGTCTAGGACACAGGACGAAATGATACATGTGATGGAAGATATCATTAAATTGTCTATGAATGCAATTAGACTTGCATGCAGGTGCCATTTAGGTGCTGTCATGACAACGAAAGGAGATCAAAATTGTTTCAAGGATGTGATGGAAAGTGTAGCATGAAATGCATGTAAATTTGCGCAATTTGAAAGATCAGTTTGTAACTTTTCTTAATTTGTTGAACAAATTGCTTGAATTGCTGAATTCAATGGAATCTTCAATGGGACTGTTATGTTTATGATTTGCCCTTAACCATTTACATGGGATGCATTATACTTGCGAGTCTGTTATTAAATGTTGGTTGATTTCTGTGAAAAATTAACATTGTTCTGATTAGGCTTATGCTGGAACATTGTATTATCAAATCTCTTTGCTTTGTGGTGATCTTTCAAAATTGCTTGCAGATATTTCCAGGGCATCCCTGAGGCTGTTTCAGACTCAGAGCAAAGAGGTGGATGCGCATGCTGATCAAGAATGACTTGACAATAATATTATAAATTTTCTATGGTAGCGGAATTTCTTCATTTTTTGGGATTCTGTTGATACCTCCTGCCATTCCACGACCTCGGCAACTAATTTTCTCAACCAAGATATCCTGCATTAGTCGCCCTATCTTTTGATTCCAAAATGTAGAATCTCGGCTGCTTGTTCTTTTTGGTTGTAATCCAAAACAGAGTGTTTGAATTTGATGTACTGGTTTAACCCTTGTTTGCCATCGGGATGCCTTTTGATTCGATGATGAATCATTATTCAATTGCATTCTATGCTGATGTGTTGAGATTATTGGTCATGCGGACTCGTCAAGTATACACAACAAGGAATTGTTTGATGCTGGCTGCAGATGTTGCACAAAAAGATACTTGAAAACTGAGAAAAGGACGAGTTCACTTTAATTTCTTGTTGCAAATCTTGCGGAACTTACCATTTCAGTTTTGTTTAATGGGAAATGCTTACGGATGTTGATATGCTAAACAGTATGAACTTAACATACATTTGTCATTTTCATACTTTCGGAGGGGAAGCCTACACCAGGCGTCCTTAGTAGTTTAGTAGCTTTACAAAGAACAAGACTCAAGTAGCTCGTGAGCCATTAGAGTAAGTTTGTACAGGCTCAGGAAGGTAGTTCAATTGCTTAGTAAAGACAGTCTTGCTGTATGGATAAACACGTTACAGGACGATTCAGAGAAAAAAGAAAAAGAAAATCAATGACGGACATGTTACAGCTTAGAAAGCTGTAGGAACGACTCGAATTCCGAGTCTTGCGATATGTGAACCGTTCTCTCCTCCAAACGATTGTCACCGAACCAGAAAAATCGTCCATCATGCTCGAGATACAGTACACTTCTCTCTCATTCTCTTGCTTGATTGTACCTCCCACATATACGGTGTCGTCACGTTGAGTGTAAGGGAACATACTGCCTAAACACCTAACAATTCTTACCGAGGGTGCTCGGGAAGCACTTAATCTTGCATGCATTGTCTGTTTAATCTTCTCGCATCAATTGTAGATTCATCCAAAAAACCATATTCTAGTAGCAATCAGTAAAATACTTTGTATTTGTGGAGATATGAAACAAGGGAGCACAAAAATATACTGAGAGCAGACATTGTTCGGAGCTATCTACATGCACGACTTACGAGTCCAAAATTGTTTCGACGAAGAAGGGACGAGATAACCTCATGATCATGCACTTCTACAGAACCTCATGTGTACAATACAACATAATGGCATGTAGTCGTAATTAAGTACAAACACATCATAACATGTTGTAGATATGATTTAGGACATTACGACCAATCGTTGTGACCATGTATAAAACTGTTGTAGGAAAAGTAAGAGTATCGTACACTAGCATCTGCATTGTGTACGAGCGGCACATCTTTTGCCCGCAAAATTTGCTCACTTCCAAAAAGGAGTTGTTTACTACCCGTTATTGCACACTTCACTACAGGAACAAATTTGAAAATAAATCAGTCACCAGCATATCTTTGGGACGAGACTCAAGAACACTGGATCAAACCAGCATTTGAATGCTGGAGTTGCGTTGCTTCACCAACCATACTTCTTCAGCAAGTCCTTAGTTCTCTTCCTCATGCGAGTGAAAACAATGACTACACATGCAAGGATCCATGGAGGGAAGTTACCGCCAAAGATGTTCAACTTGTGGAGCCACTCTGGATTTTCTTTCGAAACTAATGATAACAAGAGAGCCGTGACTGCTATGCCAATCAAGATCTTGGTAATGGGCTTGAGCAAAGAGTCCTACAATTGGAGCACAAGTAGTATCGTTATGCGACAATATCTTATGTAAGCAAGCATAGCCTTCCACCCAATATATGGGAAATAACTTGTACGAACTACATGGAGGATCATTCACTCGCAGGAAATCTAGATATAGCAGCGATCTAGCATCACAAGTAACCTCACTATGCCACACAAGTAACTTCAGTTGCCACACTTTCGAGGCCGAAATGACATGCATACGTAACTAAAGGACATTAAGATATGAAAACTTGTAAGTCAGTTTGCATTCAGCACTGCACATAAGCCACGGAAACAGTACTTTCAAATGAAAATGTGTACATGGTGGACAGGTGTAAACGCATGAAGCTCATTCTTTTCCATTTCTAGCAAAAACTTTATTCCCATCGCTAGATAGGTATAATATCATCCGGATACCTGCATGGGATCGGTTATCCAAACTTCAATCTTCAATTAGTTCACGACAAGCACACGACTCCAATCTTTTTGAAAACTTTCCAAAGATGTCGAGTGAGACTCTAGGGCTGCATTTGGAAGGCGGAATGTCAAATCCTGCTAGGATAGGATAAGAACACCCCTAGGCTGTTTATATCCTATGCCCTGTTTGGAAGATGGACAGCAAATAACAAAGGACATATCCTATTCCGATAGTGTGAGGTGCATGGGATGGGACTGTTTAAACCCTGAAAGCATAAGATATCAATCCCTCCGCAGATTAATCAAAACTTCAATGTTCACCCTGGGGCCTCGGCCACCTGGACAAAACAATCATTAAGCCGAATTTCGATAGCATTCAACTTTAAGTTTTCAATATCACTAACTGAGACAAGCTGTCTGCTTAAACAAAGAGAAATCCACTCATGGCTAGAGATAACCATCAACAATGCTCTGTTGCAATTGGCATAACCAAGACAGTGAAGCTATCAACACAAAGTCCCAAAATTCACCCAGTAAGTCTGGTGGAATCATTGCATAGTTCATTTTTCCTTTCTTCAAACAGCACCAAGTACAGACATCACAATTCAAATGACAGAACGTCACACGATTACAGCCTCCACATTCCATCGCACTGTTCAAATTCCTCCAAACCGACCAGCAATCAAAAGCCAAATTCAACAAGAGCAAGGAACACCCACCCAAGATTCCATAGAAACAAGGACATAAAAGAGATAGCAAATCAAGAAACGCGAGTGACCTCACCTTCGGCTCTCCGTCGATGTAGATGACGGCACCGTCCTTGTAGGGCAGCATGGAGCGGCCGTTCCTGGGGTTGAACCGGATGGGGGCGCCGCGACCCGACCCGGGATTGAAGGCGAAGATGGACTTGAGGCCGTACTTGTCGAGGATGTCCCGGACCTCGAGCTGGTCCTGGTCCCACCCGCCCAAGCTGGCCTTGAAGACGTCGGCGGGACCTTTGCCCTGCCGGAACAGGTGGATCTCGACCTCCGGCACCTTCGTCCGGACGACCCTCTTCGCGGGTGTCGGGTCCGGCGGCGATGCGGTCTCGATCTCTCCGGTCACCTTAGAGGCGTCGGAGTCCTCCATTGTTTATGCTGTTCACCGATGCTGTCGTAGGCCGATCATATATGTAGGAGGAAGGGGAAGTGCAAGATTTGACTTTTTCTTTTTGTTCTTCTCAATTTCATAAATAAAAACAAGGGTGTATACTTGTGATTTCCCAAATTACCATAAATTGATACACCTGTAATAACTTTACTCTCCGTTAGTTTTCCTTAAATTATATAGTCAATTTGCTGAGTTAGATGACACGTAATAGTTGACGGTTGTACCAGTTTGAGGTTTTATCCCTCCGTTTGTCACATGTTTATCAATTTTGTGATTTTTCGTGATATTAATCTAATTTTACAGAGGGTAAATTTGTCACAGGTATACCAATTTGGGGTTTTTTATTCGGGATAAATTTATCACAACCGTACCAGTTTATGATTTTTCGTTATATTAACCCTAAAAATAATGTTCTTTAAAATGAGAACAACTTACAATTTGCACACTGTTGTGAACAGTTGTTATTGCTTTATTACTTTCACATGATAACGATGATGAGGATAAATAATGCTATCGTGCATTTGATTATTTTTTTTTTTTTGATGACCCAGGGAACCCCCGCACGGCCGACAGCCGGAAGGTAAACTCTAGGGCGACACGTGCTACCACCACACACGTGCACCGGTTAGCAACACCCACAAGACGGGATTCGAACACTCAACCATGGTATGCGAGAGGAAGAGTGCGCGTTCCAGCGGCGCCACCCAGGCGGGTGGTGTGCATTTGATTGTTTGTGTAGAGATAAGTCAACTTTTTTTTTTGAAGCTTGAAAAAAAAATTTGAACTTCCTTTTGGTCGTTTGGATCCTTGATTTTCGCCCTTTTAATTATAATACGAATTGAAATACTAACGGGAATTTTTCAAGTCAGTGTCGATCGGACACATCGACCAATATGACATTGAAAATCGTAGAAAGAAAAGAAAATAACTCACAAAATCGAGAGAGATATAGTGGCGACTGGGCCTAGGGCAAGCCCACCCCAATCTCAAGCTAGGCTACGCACATTCTCTTTTGTTTCAAAGAGAGAGAGAGAGAGAGAGAGAGAGGGTATTTGGTGATGCCGTCACTTGTCCCGATCTTAGCAAGGGTCAACATCCCTCGCCTAACATGGTGGTGAGGATATGAGTCTAATTTGAGGTCATCAGTTCCAAAATGAATAGATTTTACATCAAGAACTTTAAACATATCTTGTCAAAGTCATTCCTCATTTTAGATTGATCTTGGAACACGACAATTCCAGGCTGATTTCAAGGTTGATTTGAAAACCGCCCTACCTATTTATTTTTGTTTCCTTTTTCTTGAATCAATCATATTTATTTTGCATTTGCAATGAAAATAGTTTTCATTAAAAAAACCATAAAAACACAATAAAGTACTTCAACATAAAAAGAAAAAAACTGCATAATTTTATAAATACAAGATATTTAGGATTGGTTTTATATAAGTTCAAAACCAATTCTACTCGAAAACAAGCCTTAAACCGATTTCAACTGATTTTTCCCGAAAATCGAATTGGTCAAGGCTAGTTCCCAAGTGTTTTACCTAGGAATCAAACAAGTGCCCGTGTGAACCATTCTACAACTAGTCGAATAAGGCCGGTTCAGTTTGGTTCGGTTTAAGAATTGAATCTGTCTAGTTACTCACCTTCAAGCCTCACCATATTGCGGTTCAAAGTCAAATATGAGGCCAAACCGCTACCTCTGTCTTCAAGCACTAGCGACCGAGCATCCCTTTGCCGTCCTTTGCGCGCCTCACAATGGAATGTGGCTACTCTTCTATAGTTACTAAATTCAAAGGAAAATCTCAAATAAAAGCCTAAAGTAGATGAATTTTCTCAAAAGAGGGATCGAAGTGAAGATTGTCTCAAATAAGGGTCTAAACTTGCTCGTCAGTCAAATCTTTGCTGGCTAGCGAGCACATGCTTATTCCGGCAGCACAATTAGGGGCGTAATTGTCCAAAGACATTTCTTTTTCTTTCTTCTTGTTATCTTTTCATTTTTTTCTCTTCTTCCTCCTTCACCCCGTTTCTATCCAAATTTGGTCGTCGGCCCGCGTTCAAGCGTCTTCTTGGCCAGCTCTTCAAATCCAGCCATCCATGGCCACCGGCGCCAAACAAACTGTCGTCGCTCATGGCCATGGCTTAAGCCGATTTTCGTTTGTCACAAACTCCTCCATGAGCAGGTGGTCCTTGATTCGCTCCCACTTCAGCAGTCGGAGCTTGCACTTTGGTCAGGGGCGTGACGGTTGGGCCTTGCAGCGGTCTCCGGCCCCTTTTGCTTCTGTTGCTTCCAGCTAACGTGCGAAGGCAGTGCCGTCGGCTCAAACTCTTCTTCTTCTTGTCAAAGCCGTGTTGCTTGCAATCGCCAGACTAGCAGTTAAGGGTTTTATTGTCAGAGCTGTCCCATGGCTCTTTGGGGGGTTTTTGGGGGCGAATTAAGGTACTGAGAGAGAGATCAGAGGTGATTTAATCAGAAACTTGCTTTGGAAACAAGTTAAAGATATGCTTTTAAGTGTAGAGAGAGAGACGAAAGGCTTGTTTAGTGCCGGCAGCCATGGAAGACGCTTGAGCGCAGGCCGATGTGGGTGAAGGAGAAAGACAATACACAATCTCTCTGATCTTCTGATGATGATGTGTTTAGCTCTCTTATCAGAGAGATTGTGTGCTTGTCATGTGTTTTGCTCCTTCACCCATGTTTCTATCTATCATCATCACCCTGGAGACCCGCAACTTCCCTCCAAGCATGAAGAAATTTTTTTTTTTGGTCAGAATGAAGAATTTGAACAGTGAAAAAATAGGAAAAGAAAACGAAACAAAAAAAAATGTCTTTAGACAAAAATGCCCATGCTTGTGTTGCCGGAATAAGCATGTGCTCATTGGTTGGCGAAGATTTCATCTGTCGGCAAGCTCAGTCCGTTGTTTAAGGCCAAAGCACCATTTCAGACCCTTATTTGAAACTAAATGACTACTTCATATCCTTATTTGAGATAACATCCTTTGAGCCATATTTTGGAAAAACGCATCGACACCGGGCTATTATTTGAAATTTTCCTTAAATTCAATGCAAGCATGTACAATTGCATCGCCCCATTAATACCGAATTAGACTGGCCTCCACGCTTTCTTGTTCTTGTTTTTTCATCTCTAGTGCGCTGGTAGCGGTAGACTCCCTTGCTGGCCCAACGTGGATCTGACGACCCACGCTAAACATAGCGAGGGCCTGGCGATCGTTGCTGGTGGCCTGGCAACGGTCGCCAGTGAGGTGGCGGCAAACTCCCTTGCCGCCTTCGTCTCGCCCTTAATGTTCATGTAAGCTATCACAGGTTGCAAGTCAGGTTCGGTTTACATCTATTCAAATACTAGTTCCGCACCTTCCTTTGATTTTGGCTTACGGGGATCGCTTTTAGAACTCTTCTGCAATCCCCGTCACAAGAGCTTCGCATGTCTCCAAACCGGCGGCTAGGCAATACCTTCCAACATATGTTGAATTACCCGTGCAAATGAAACCTCATAAGTTCACCCCCTGCATTCTGCAACTCTCTCTCTCTCTCTCGTAGAATTACTGGCTTATAAGGCAGAAATCTAAAACAGATGGCTTCGGCCGCAGAAAGAGGGAGAGGAGAAGAAGTTGGTAAAAGGCCTGAAAAAGGGTATGGACTCGCACTCGCCCAAGATGCCAAATCCATGAGCAACGTTGAACCTGAGTTGTCGAACAAGAAGGAATGACAAGTGTTACGGCTAGTGCTATCACTTAGAGGGGGGTGAATAGGTGATTTTATCAAATTGAATGATTTAAACGTGCGGAATGAATATATTCGAGATCAACAACTCGTATGGTCAATATCATATGGATGCGTATGACAAACTTGTATATAAGTTGTCGTCAGATAATTGCGTTTGATGATTATGATGATGTTTTAACGAACTCGTTTAACATATATGTATGCAATATAATGTCAACAATAATAAATGAAAGTTTAGGGATAGAGAATATTGCACACAAATCTTTATAGTGGTTCGGCTTTATTAATCCTACGTCCACTCTCCACGCTGGCAGCCTGTTGGCTGTGTTTCACTATTGAATTACCAAGAGATTACAAGCGCAGTGCTTCTTGAGTGATTTTCTTTCTAGAGTAACAACGTGGAATACAGTTATCACAAGTGTGTAAGATCGAAGCTCTATTCAGGCTTTGGAATTCTCAATTTTGGTTTTTCTTCTTATACGACGTTTGCACTCCTTTTATACTCCTCTATTTTCAATCTATCCGTCTTCAGAGGATTGATCACCAAAGCAAACCGTTGGAGAATCTTCCCAAAAGAAGATGCATAGCCGTTAGAAGAAGAACCATTATCTCCAGGTGATTTGATCTTCCATATAATTAAATCAAGGTTTCCATAAGTATAGTTCTTCGTGTTTAAGGAACGATCTTGTGATTGCCAATTAGGATATCTTGAAATATCGATTATAAAATCAATTTGATTGTCTTGCATAAACTTGCCAAAAATAACATTTATTAAATATGACAATGAATTTTGAGTCTGATAACAAGGTCCTTTCATCGACTAAGTCTGATGACTCAGTATTTACCTGCATCAAATAACTTAATTGTAATTGTGATCAGAAAAAGATTGTTTTGTCTTTCTTTAAAACTAATTAGGATTTTCCTCAACAACAAGACACATGTAATGTCCACGATGCTATCTACTTGTCAGTCTTTCAAGATCGCTCTGCTTACGGATACTTCTTCGGGTTACAGTCTCAAGTTCAAAACCCCACGATTGAACAAGCAAAACACGCTGTACTCAATGTTTTTTCGCAGCTTGCTCGAGCGAGCCGCGATCATGAAGCCCATTTAAACCTATAAAAAGAAGGGTGTTTCACAGCTCAAAATTTGGAGGATTGTTGTCGTCCTCCTCCTCCTCTTTCTCCGCTCCTGCCGTGGTGTTGGTTGTTCCACCATGACGATCCATGGATCTTGGCCAACACCGACCTAGCGAAATCGCACGACGGGGACACCAGCGAGCACAACCCCACCAGACACCCGATCGCACCCGCCTCTGTTTACCTCATCTATCCGTCAATTCCCTATTCTCTTGTTGTTTAGGGTAACTGCAGACATGGAAACCTGTATAAAGACACCAGTGAGATTTGAACAACCTCATGCGAACATGAGGAACGTACGTAGTTTAAGGAATCATTCAAGTTCACGACGAGTTATCCATTCCAACAACAACAACAACAAAAAATGAGCAAAAAATGATCTAAAACAGAGAGAGAGAGAGAGAGAGAGAGAGAGAGAGAGAGAGAGAGAGAGAGAGAGAGAGAGAGAGAGAGAGAGAGAGAGAGTATACCGCGAAGATCAGCCGAGTGAAAACAGATTCTGAGCATGTAATTGAGCTCCGAGCCAGTCAATGGGAGCATGAGCAAGAAGCGTGATTAATTTCATCGCCAGCCATGGATGATGAATGATGAATCACATCCCGCTCCTCCTCCTCCTCCTCCTCCTCTCCTCCTCGCATTTTGTGCACTCAAACAGAAATCTATCGCCCCTTTGCTGGATCACGATTAGAAGAAGAGCTTGTCTTGTTCCTGCGCTCATCATCGGACTGGCCACCTAGACACCTAAGATACACGTGGCACTAGCCCACCACAGCCCCGTTGTTAAGGGCTCAGTACAGTCCGATGCGCTTGCTTTTACTGGGGTTAATTCCCAAAAAAAGCACAAACTTTAGGTCGAGAGACAATTCTGGCCCGAATTTTTTTTTGTCTCATAAAAAAGCACAAACTTTAGGTCGAGGGACAATTCTGGCCCGAACTTTTTTTTTGTCTCGTAAAAAAGCACCAACTTTCATTTAAATCTCAAATTTGGCCCCCCATTGACTTTCTGTTTGAAGTTTCCCTTGTTTGAGAAAAAAAGTTATGGTGGTAAGCCTGGCGAATCTCATCCATGGCGTCTGTCGACGGACGGTGGTCTACAGCTTCATATTACGACAAAACGACGAAGTTTGGCCAGAAAGATTCAATCTGGAGATATTTTTGACTTGCCGGTGAAGTGAAGGAGACGAACGGTTTCACCGTTATTCTTATTGTGGTTCGGAGAATAAGACAATGAATAATATTTTAAATCCAATCAGCAAGTTACGTGGATTTATTGCTAAGGTGGAATAGTCAAGTTGGAAAATCAATGGTTTTAAGTCAATAAGGGTCAGATTTGAGATTTAAGTGAAAGTTGGTGCTTTTTTACGAGACAAAAAAAAGTTCGGGCCAGAATTGTCCCTCGACTTAAAGTTGGTGCTCTTTTACGGGACAAAAAAAAGTTCGGGACATAATTGTCCCTCGACCTAAAGTTGATGCTTTTTTATGGAACAAAAAAAAGTTCGGGCCAAAATTGTCCCTCGACCTAAAGTTGATGCTTTTTTTTGGAATTAACCCGCTTTTACTATGATAAGTCCACCAATTTTCCGGGTGGCTCCAAGAAAATCTTAAACGAATCCGAATGCAATCGACACGTATCATCGAACGGGGGACCCACGTGAGGACCCCAATTTCTTTAACGCATAGAAAGAAGAGCGATTCGATCTTGGACCAAGGGGAGGGCGGGACACACCGCGACCTGGTCGTGCGCGAGAGGGACTTGGAAATGTAGTAGATCTGTACCGCAACGTGAAGTCAAAAAGAAAAGTACTCATCCAGTCATACTCTCTCTATCGACCCCCTTGTGTTGTGGAATCCCGATGCTTCAGATCCGGTCGAGAGTCGAGCATAGTACACACTACACAGTCCCCTCCCAAATGATAGTACGGAGCCTCGCGGCGGTAGTACAATGGCCCAACCCTATAAGTGGACTCTGCAATCTCTTTCTCCAGATCAGATCATGTGCACCGATCTTACACAGCCTTAGAATAAAAGCTGGAAGGAGTCATGGCCTCGGTCAGCTCGAGAGTTCTCCAGTCTCCCCCCGAGTCCGAGGAGCTCTCTCTCTCTCTTTGGGTCGTCTTTGCGTTGGCAGGGTCTGCGCAAGGCTCTTGGCAATGTCCATTACCCGAGCCATCTCTTCTTAGTTAAGTGAGGATGTTTATGCAATGGACGTTGCCTTGAGCCTTGCACAAACTTGCCATCTTTTCTCTTCAGAAGTTTAGCATTCTGGGCTCGCTGGTGGGTACAGAAGGTTCCTTTTCTTTCTGTTTTTGCTTCGTATGAGACCGTGTTCTGGGTCAGTTTTCGCGTATTAGATTGAGTTCGGCGTTACTTGCTTTCGATCTAACCCGGTCGATCCAACCAGCAGCGATTACGCCGAGATCGGAAGCAAGGCGTCCATACCGGGATCGCAACATACCGAACGCATTATTTTTCTTACGATTACTGCCGTGTTTTGTCACAAACCCGAATTGCAGGTCAGGAGACGATGTCGGACGGCATGGTCAAATTCAGGTTGGAGCATTCAGAGTAACGTCGGAATTTGAACTCGTTCTTTTACCGGTCATCAGAGAACACGCCTGCGTGTAAATTGCTCCCTTCAATTTCGGCGAAAGTTCAAAGGGCATCATAAGAGCAAATCTGAGTTCTAAGTTGATTCATCGGATTCAATTTTCTATTATTTGATATTTTGACAGCTTTGTACTTTCATCTTTTTCGAGCTCTGGTACTACCACATTTATATATGTACTAGCGAAGTTCCGAGTACATCGTACTTGTGCGTGCGGTAAGACTACTTTAGTCTTACTATTCTAAACATTGTTGTCGAAGCCGAGTTCTAAAGTGTATCCGAGCACAGTCACGTAGGTTTATTCTTCGATTAAAAGAAAACGTGAGATATAAAACTGTAACACTCATCGATCTATTTAATCTTTCGAGCATGCGAAATGATATGAATTAGGGCTAGAAAACTGATGAATGCCCCCCCTGGAAACTGCACGGTGACAATCAACCGGCGATTCAACTGGCAGAGAAAAACGAGGTTTCGTTCACAGGAAAGTCCACTATCCTTTTTTACACGAAAGATCTCATAATCGCATCCTCATTCCTAGCACCACAAACACTAATTCCCAGTCACCGGGCTTTCGCAGAGCAACGAACGCTCGATGTACATAGCCTATACCAAGATGATTTCGCAATTACTGATGTACGGATATATCTCATAAGTGCATCAGAGGGCGGAGAGGTGTTCAAAAACTTAATTGGAGAAGAGTCTGATCTGATCTGTTTGGTCGTCGAACGGCTCTAAATAGGTCGCGAAAGAGGCTTGACAAGGAGGCAGATAAGGAGGAGGACGTCGGACGCTCGTCTCCGGTGTCCCACCGTTCTTCACTATCATCACCGTGCTCATGCCCCAACTTAGGTGTCGGTCCAAATGGCAATGCCAAAACCATACTCCTGTCACATTTCATTAAGGAAAAATGAGCGTTTCGATTTGATGTTTAATCTTCTGTTGGCAAGAAATGTCGCGAGATGAAACTCACCTGGGTTACTTGCTTTGAATCTGATGGTGACCCATCCGTCCTTGGGCACTCCGATCGTGTTCACTTCCAACGGGTCGACGTAGTTGTACGTCAACGGGTCGGTCTCGTTGTCGAAGTTTCCGTAGCCCGACCCCATGACGTAGAAGCTGTACCCATGGAGGTGCATCGGATGGTTTTCCGACGCGTTCAGCACCTCGGTCCCTTGGAATGTTATCTCGACTTCCTCGTTGTACTCCAGCATCTTCACCTTCGTCGCCTGTATCGGTATCGTCGTGTTGAAGGGCAGATCTGATTGCGTGAAGTTGAACATCGTCGGGGGCCAATTGGGGAAATCCGGGGTGTAATATCCGCTCAAGTTCCTGATACATTTGATGGAGAATTCATGCTTCAGAGCCTTATAGGATCCACCATACGAGAAATTGGAAGGGAGAAAATTGAGGTTGTGATGATAGTGATCCATACCTGTAGTAGGCAAGAAGTACATCAGTTGAGGGGTTCAGAAAACTTATGTTGTTCAAGCTCGACACGAGCCGATTCCCGTTAATCCCTTCGCACGATTCGTTCGGGCAGAGGATCTGATTCATCTCGACTGTGATGTACATTTTCGTGGTTATGTTCATCGGCACATCTACAGGGTGCTCTGTGCTGGCCAGGCTCCTTAGCTTCGCCAGAAAAATGTCCGCCGCGATGAAGTCCTCGTATGTTGGCAAGCTATGAGGGAAGACGGGACTGGCCGGCGCGGTGTAGTTGCCGCTGTACATGAAAATCGCAGTGGCATTAGTTTTGTCATAGTCCGTGACGTCCGGCCGGGCCGAGTCGTACTGCCTTATGGCAACGTAATAGTGGCCCGGGGCCTGGTTCATCGTGACCAGCACGTCCATGGTCTGCCCGGGGCTTATCATGATGAAGTCCACCATCACGGGCTTCACATAGTTGCCGTCCATTCCCACGACGGTCATGTTGTGCTCGGCGATCGCGAGGAAGAGTTCCGCGTTCATGTCCGCGTTCACGATCCGGACAAGGTAGGTCTTGCCGTAATCGACCACCCTGCGGTACGTCGAATCTGCAAGCCGGCAAAAAAACAGCCGATTGTTAGCTTGGTTTGGTTTCCAATTAAGCGCCCCTTGTAGCTACTTAGGACATTCTGAGTTTGATTTCATGGCTCACTTCTTGAGCAATTGGCAAAATCGCCGGGTTGTCCGTTGATCACATAAGAATTGGAACGAGGAGTGTCTGCCCCGGTTACCAGGTCCTCAGCGACTTCTTGGTTAACGTCAGCAATATACCACGATCCTGAGAGATATCCAAAATTATGGACAAGGACGAAGAAGATTCGTAATTTTAGATTGAGCGTGCAAGATAGATTCATAATTAAGATATCTAGAACTTTTCGATAACTTAAAGTCGACTAACCGAGAACGATGACCTCTTCGTCGTCGGGCGTAGGATAAGGATAGGAGGTTCCGTCGCCTGGATAGACCACTATGGCTCCATGAACGCTCGATCGGGTCCAATCGCTGTGCGCATGCCACCAGAGAGTTCCTTCTTCCGTTGAGAATATGACTTCGTATGTGAAGTTAGTCCCCGGCTCGATCGGACACTGGGTGATGTATTCCGGACCATCCGACCACGGATTTCTCGGCTGCTTCACGCCATGCCTGAAAACAAGTTGATAAAATGAAAATTAGCGCAATTGATGTAGGAACAAAGAATTAAATCATAATCGAAAAGGTGGAGGGATATTACTTTCATTGGGAAAATGACATAAAAAGTCCCTTTACTTTTAATTTATTCAATGTAATCTTTACACTTTTGGTACATGTTCAATTTAGTCCATGAATTATATAAAAATGTTCAATGTTGTTCCTGATCTTGAATAAATGAAAGGACAACATCAAATATTTTATTATAGTTTATGGACTACATTGAACTTGTACTAAAAGTTCAAGAACCACATTGAACATTAGATTAAAATTTAGGGATCATATTGAATAGATTAAAAATTCAGGGACCTCATTGCATATTGGATCAAAGTTCGGGGATTATTTGCGTCATTATCCCTACTTTCATTTGATATAATTAAGCGAAATTGTTTCAAATATCCTTACATTTTCTGGGTTATTATTCTGCTTTTACCGTGGGTCAAAGCCTCTTATTTCAAAGGAAGAAAAAGTTCAAATTTTCAAGAAATAAATCTCCTAACATATACCAAGCTCGCAATTTTGACATGAAATGTAATGTCCGCGTGACAAACATTACAGATGACTAATCGAAATTAGCCAACGGTGGACCTAATGAACTATTTCTATCTGAGTACGTCACAAATGGAATCGATATTTGTTTAGTCACCACAGGTACGTTCACCCTCGCATGGTTCGTGGAAATTATTGTTTCCCACCTGTAAATCGACATCAGTGAGTCATCACCAACATCGTGTTGTGAAGTGTTTACTTGTTAGTCAACAATCTCAATTTGGCCTGACCAACGGTTGGACGTCTCCCATCTTAAATTTTCATCGTTGATACCTAACTTCAATTATTGATATCGTACCTGCATTCGATGCTGAACCCACACACATATTTATCATGTCAACATATAAGTATATTTCTTTTATTATGTTGGGAAAAGTCAGTAAGGACCTTTCTAGTCGAACCCACTCAAAAAATATTTCTAGAGTTTCTCGAAAATTTGTAAAATAATTGAAAAAATGTCAATTTATGCAAAGTAGTTTCCATATGAAATTTCTTTTTTTTTTTTTTGGGATGAAAATGTTTGCAAATGAGAGGGGATTCCTTGAACCATGAAGCCAACGACATAATTAGAAAAATTGATAACACCAATGCCAAATCGCATGGAAATGAGATCAGCTCGTGTAAATCAAGCTAGGCTATTCCAAGGTTTTGGACCATATCCTACCATTGGAATTAAGCCCTAAATGGCCTATAATATGGATGGATCTAAGTCCCAAACGACTCGATACAGATCGATGATGGCATGACCAGGGTCCTCAAATGGTCTAATCCATGACGGTGGACGAGTAGTTTGATTGAGACGTCGATAGAATTCTATGTTCAATTGCCAAATAATGATATTCAATCTCACGGGTGATTTTCTACGAGGAATTTTTTCGGGTAATAACATTTCCGCGAATGGATAATGCTTTCAGCGAGACAACTGAACCAGACGTCCCGGCTTGTGCATTCGTTTCGATTCACAATCCACATCAAAATAGCCCCTATTAGCAGCAGCATGGTCTGATGATCTTTTGTTCAATGCACCTTCGCAAATGGATAATGGTTTCTTTGGCAGATAAAGACCCGAAACAGTGCGTTTTTGACTCCGCTTCAGTTTCTTGACGGACGGCGGCACATACCAATTTTGGATGGGAATGCCAAGAGAGGCCCCCAAACGACAAAACATGATCCTGAAGTACGAAACGAGATCAGCGAAGGTACGTACCAATGGATGGTGACTCCATAATCGCCCTGGTTGTGCACATTCACGAACGCCGTGTCCCCTTTCTGGACTCGAATCACAGGCCCTGGGAAGCTGTCGTTCACCACCAGCATGCTCTTCGTGCTGCATAGCCTCGTGTAGTTTTTCTCTCTCAGCTACACAGTTTAACGGCACGCCCCCGCAGGGAAAAAGACGATCAATCATGTCATCTTCCGACGTGAACTTTAAGGTACAAAGAACAGAGCACGAAAAAACAGAGGAAGAAAAATGACTTAAGGTACAAAGAACAGAGCATAAAAAGCAGAGGAAGAAAACAGAGCGAACAATGCTCAGTTCGAAACGCATGGCACAGGCGCCCAAACGCGGAACAATGGGCGTGCATGCCCGGGGCTGTCACTTACGACGAAATCGTAGTAGTGGACTTTGGCATGGGCAGCGCTGAGGAGGAAGGCGGCAGCGACGAGGAGAGAGAGCAGGGCCGAGGCGGCGCGAGCACCGCCGCTCTCCATCTTCAACAGGTTCCTCTCCTGCTTTTGGCCGTGGGGACCAGGGAAGGGTAAGGGGGAGTATCAGGGGCGACGGCAAATGTTAAATACGAGGGGCCTGTCAGTCGGATACGACGCTTTCGGGTTCGGCAGGAGGTCGATGTAAATACAGGGAGGTGGCGGAGGAGGCAGAGGTGCAATCGCCATTTCAAAGCCAAGAGAGGGCTGCTTCCTCCCCTTCTTGCTTCAGGGTGTCTCGCACGCGGGGGATGACTTCTGGTTAGAGAAGTTTAGATGAGGAAGGGAATGACAATTGAACTGGCTTGGATTGTGGAATTTTTGAGGTCCCTTGGAATGCCAAGGGGTCCAGCTTTCGTCAACGTCAAAATCTTCAGCGAGACAGAAAGAAAGAGTTTTCTTTTTATACCTCCTAACGCTTCACGTGACCGTATTGCCGAGCCAAGACGTGCCACTTATTGAATATGCTCTAGGAAAACGTAAAAAAAAATTTCCAATTTGAAGGAAAAGTCGTCCTCGGAAAAATGTGTATTTCTTCGAATTTCAAAACCTCGTGAAAAACCGTCTTTTGCTTATTTTAGTTACCTTAAGGGTGTCACGGGGCACTTACTAACGATACCCAAGTTAAAAAGATTGCATCGATCTGCAATGCACCGACGCATGTAACACGAGTTAGGTGGTGCATTGTATACGACAGATCTTTCTGTGCATTGGTGTCTTAAGGCCACTTGTTAACAAAGTCTGCAAGATAGCGGCAAACAATTATTTGTGGCTGGTGATGCTGTGAAAGTAACTAGGGATTTCTTCTCGAATTTCGATGAATTGGACCACTATGGTGGTCGGCTTAATGGAGTAGAGCCCACTCTCAAGTGATTTGGGTCCCTTGGTCACCAGTCCGAAACCCCCCTAGTTGTTTATCGACCTCAGAAAGTCTTGGTGCATCTGCGGCATAAGCTCGACCAGGCAGTGGCATAAGATAACCCGGTTCTACTCCCACTACGACCATGGTGGTGGGACGGTGGCAACAGATTAGCTCAAAACGAACAGTAATTATGACCCAAAATGAACATCTTGCCGTGCAAACGGAACTCATACAATAACGTTTTTTAAGAGGGGGCGCGCACTTCCCACCCTTTTTTTAATAATGAAAAAAGACATAATCTTGATTAATAGAGATGCTTGTTTTAAAAAATTATTTGAGTGTACACCACAAAAAAGTGCCAAATTATGCCTACTACGATATAAATACCCTCAACTGTTTTTTTGTGTCACAAAAGAATTCAAACTAATACGTGTGTATTACAGTTCCATTCAATGTATATTTGTCACACTACAAAAGTTTGGGGATATTTGTGTCACAGTGAGCAAATTTATGAGATTTTTAGTGACACAAATTTATTTTGGGATATTTGTGCCATAAAGGGTAAAATTCGAGATTATTTTTTGTCATATTAACCGCTTTAATTAAAGGATGGATATGTAGATATTGTTATGAGAAAAGGTTAGAAATGTGGACAGTAGCAGAACCATGAAGTTAGGTGTGTCTAAATCTAGGTCGAGCAGACACCGTTGACGACATCATAATGAAATCGAATCGTTCCTCGTTGTAGACACTGTCCATGAACCAGGAGGTTATTAGTATTTTCTATCAACAGGACCGGCACAACCAGGCGAATCCTTGGTGAAAGCACAACATGTCTTCCCTCTTAAAGCTTTTCTTCTTGCAAGAAAGTTTGTTGGTAGTTTGTTGGTGCGTCAATATGCAGCAGGCCTTTCGTTTCAAACTTCTGAATAGGCACATGAGTATCTTTCTTCCTACTTTCTCGTCAGAACTTGGAATATTCCCCGAATTTCAACCAAAAGCATGAGAAAATATCGTGTTGAATCTACATTTTTCTATAATACCATTTGAAAGCTTGGAATCACAGTGCATTAAGAAAAAAAGGTCAAAGCACGCATGCCACGGGATTGGAAAAATTTGGAAAAATATCGAAAATCGAAAGTCAAAGGACGTCGCTCCATACGGACAGAGCATTGTAGGTATTCCTTTCGAGCATTTAAAGTCATTAGCTAGTCGCGAATTAATTATATTCTAGACGGGTTCTCCGATTAAATTAACAATGTTCAGTGACTGTAGAATTTTCTTGGTGCCGGGACGAACCTAGAACGATGTGGTAAGCAATTGGGTGAGGTTTTTCTTGAGATGGTTTCCATAAAGAATCTCGCAGGTGAGATACTTGTAGTGATTTCACCCATTTCTAATAGGTAAATAGGTAAAGTACTTTTAATATTTGTCTTTTGTGCGGAAAATTCTAAGCTCCCGATAAATTTTGTACGAAAGAAATTAAATTGTCTAAACATGACCCACTCTGAAATTGCCCTAGTGCTAAGGGCGTTCCCATATTTTCAATTTAGGAACTGATGGTTGTAGGTTCAATTTTCATCTTAAGGAACTAAAATTTTAAGTAGAGGACCACGGTGGTAGGTTGTTGTGCTAGTTCTACTCCAGGTAGCCTACTCATTACGATCATGCCCCTGAATTAATAAAGAATTCTCTGGGCACGCCTTGTGTTATAACTTATAAGGCATCTAGATAAGTGATCCTTTGTACTTTAGATTGGATAATAGTAGCCCAAGCAACAGTGATTTTGCAAATACCCTATCCCAACTAGTGAGTGAGGGGTATTGTTCTCACGCCTCGTTTGCATGTACTACCCGCGAGAGAGGCAAAGACAGAAGTCATCGGGGCGGTGAGACGACACACATATCAAGCAAATAAAAAGTATTCCCATGGAAATTGAAGCATGAACAAGATCTCGTATAGGGACATGTTTTCCTGATTCTACGTATGAGAATTTGGGCTAAAGCAAGAGCAAATGCGAACTTCCAAGTTACGACGACGTAGGAGATAGGGGGCAAGTTGCAACCAGCCCTGACAAGTAAAGTGACCAAGAAGAGGACCAAACCGTGCAAATCATGTGATCGACACTTGTCTGTGCACATCCCGGTTGCACGAGACGCCGATCTGTGGCTCTCTTGGTGCATCCCCTCTTTTGGCCTCGTTGCGTCGCTAGTATCTTGTTGCCCCCATCGGACCAAACGGTCGTGACTTGGAAATCTAATGCAGATTCGTAAAGCATTCGCTATCCTCCAGTCAAGTCGACATGAGCAAGTACAGAGCGGACGAAACGTTTTTGCAGCAAGCGTGTCTCCGTTTATCATTGTCTGATTCGAATTGAGCACACCTCGCCATACATCTCTCCCCTCGCTAGAAGAGAAAATCGCGATCAGGCTTAGCCCACACGGTTTGGCACAGTTGATCGGAGCATTGGGAAATTTCTGATTCGAGATTCGGGAGTCGCCATTCGAATCTCACGCTACGGCTCGGCTTGGGATGCACCTCTATCAAAAAGCAGGCCCTTCCAATGATGTTTCTTTCATTTACATTGCAAGACATGCAATCAAAGTCCAGTATCCGAGCCCATCCACGTATTCAGTTGGTTTTGCCTTCACTTAAAAAGTTTGATCAATGAATTATAGACCAATTATTTTGTGTTAATTACTCATCATTACGCCACGTTCTTGATGTGGGTCTTTCGCCTGACACCCTCGTATGTACATCATAACAATTTACTCACATGTGTGTATACATAGACCGGTTAGATTCGCATTCACTTAAAGTACTATCGGTCACGGAAGACATGACTGCTAAATCTAGTACTTAGATATCATGACTGGTAAATCTTGTAGTATGCCTTTGCTGCGAAGATTTTGTCAATTTCCCTTAATCAGAAAAACACTGATGTCTAGCCAATCTAATGCCAATCTCCAGTGCAAGAGTGCATGAGCAAATCTCAGTAATTAATCTTTGAATAAACCTGAGGCGTGTGGGTCGTAGCATTTCAACTCCAGGCTCGCAGCCGTTGGTAGCACTTTCAATCCATAGATTACTCATTTACAAGAGCACAGATCACAGTCACTGCAGATTAATCTCAGTAGGACCCGAGAAATCATAATAATTTTCATTTTCTAGTGACTGGTAACAAGCCTCACCAGCTACAGTTTTCTTAATGATGGTTATTAGTCTTCTAAAGATTTAATAGTTTGGCTCACCATGGAAATTTTACTTATATCCCGAAACAATTAATGCTTTTCATCATATACAACTCAAGGCGGATTAGACTCAATATCTTAAAGCAAAAATTTGCGGTGTTGATTGACACGTAACAATTGATGCAAGTGATCCCAAAACACAACAATTCCAGGCTAATTTCAAAGTTGATTTGGGAACCGCCCTACCTATTTAATTTTGTTTTTCCTTTTGCTTGAATCAAGCATATTTATTTTGCATTTGCAATGAAAAAAAATTTCATTAAAAGAAACCATAAAGCTCAATAAAATACTTCAACATAAAAAAAAAACCGCATAATGTTATAAATACAATATATTTAGGATTGGTTTTATATCGATTCAAAACTAATTTTACTCGAACAAGCTTTGAAACCAGTTTCAATTGGTTTTTCCCGAATATGGAATCGGTCAAGGCTGATTCCCAAGCATTTTACCTTGGAATCAAACAAGCACTCGTGTGAACTGTTCTAGAATCAGTCAAATAAGGGCCGGTTCGAGTCGGTTTTTGAATTGAATCGGTCCCGCTACTTACCCTCAAGCCTCGCCAAACGGCGGTTCAAAGTTAAATAGGAGGCCAACCGCTGCCACTGTCTTTAGGCACCGGCAACCAAGCATCCCTTTGCCGTCCTTCGCGCGCCTCAAAATGGATTATGATGCTCTTCTATAGTTACTAAGGATGCGTTTGTCTGGATGAAATTGTTTTATGGGAAAGTGTTTTCCGGACTTTTATCCGTTTGGTTGTCCGAAGATGATTTGGTCAACCGAAAACACTTTCCAGTCAAGGAAATCATTCATGTATAAATTTAAGAAAAGTGAATTCCTAAGGTGAAAACACTTTTCCGGAATTGATTGTCTAAAATTTGTTAATATTTTCTTTTTTTTTTCTTTTTTTCCCTTTTCTTTTCTTTTGCTTTTTTTTTTGTCTTTTTTTGTTTTCTTCCTTCTTCCTCCTTCCGCTGATTGCTGCTACTGGCCACGAGTGTGGGCCGGTGACGGTCGAGCTCGCCAGATCCCGACGAGACTCAAGCTCGCTGCTCTGGCGAGACTCTAGCTCGCCGGCGTCGCGTGAGGCCCTACCTTGCCGCCTCCACCTCGTCTTGACCTCCCTTGAGGTCGGTGACCTCGAGGCTTGGCAGATTCGGTCGAGCTAGGGCTCAACTGAGGCC